ACTCTCTTCTGGTTTCATGCCTTCCAGTCAACTTTGATCTTCAAACATTTAAATGCAGTGTCAATTGTCATCTTCCTTCCTATTTTTCTTTTATTGTTCTCGCTCTTTAATTATGTTTTTCTTTTTCTCATATTTTTCACATTCAGTACCCCCCCCCATGTCTTAACAGTTTTATTGAAATGATCTGAAAAAAAAAAAAAATTAAGTTAACCTGAACATAATGATAATTCTACCCCAATTTGGAACACAATCAGTCATGCCACTTGCAATGGTATATGAAAAATTTTTTCTTGAAGATGACCCTAGGACAAAAGAAAAGTGACCATACACAGATCTTTATATAACTGATGACCATGCTATGGAGTATATGTGTTAAATAGATACTGTTTTTTCTTTTCAAGATGGCCATTTGCAGTAATGCCGACCTGAGAGATTTTTTTTTTTTTAATGCAGCCGGCTTCTATCTAGAAAGTGGTTGACAATCTTAGAAGATGACCATCATGAAAAAGAGGGGAGGCAATCACGACAGCAAATGATGTTTGCCTGAAAACTGGTTTCACCAAAACTGATAAATCAAATCTTCCCTTCATCAAATGGTTCATTTCACTGAAAAACCAAAAAATTGAAAAAATTAGAGGGAGATAACTTTTGTATCTGAATAGTTCTTTTTAAAATGTCACCCATTAATTTGAATTTTGTTTATTTATGATAACGAATACTTTTTTCTCCATAAATTCATCACTGAAGTTATTCCCATAATGGTAATCTTAGCCTTTTCCCTACAAGTAAACATTTGGCATTCCTTCACTGAGCAGCCATTACTGCTTTATATTGAAATTTATAAAATCTTTCTTTTAAAACAATTTTTTAGGAAAAATGATTTCTCAAGTTCAGTAGCTGTTATCACTCTTTCCAGTGTTGATTAGGGTCTTTCTTCCTAACCTTTTATTTGAAGTGGTATAGAATTTCAGGTAAACAGGTTTCTCAAGTCCTGTAGCTGTTATCGCCCTTTCTAGTATTGATGGGGGTTTCCTTCCTAACCTTTTATTTGAAGTAGTGTGGAATGTTAACATCTTGATTATGTAATTATTTTTTCTTCAATTTATAAATGCTATCCATTTTAGTTGTTGCTGCCATTGGTAACAATAATGTTTAATATGTTGGTTTTATTCTAAGAATATTTAAAAACGAGTAAAAAATGTCAAAAAACAGACCCATTTAAATATTTGTCATATCCAAAGTACAAGCATAAACAAATTCAATATTTAATCTTCTGTATCTGTCTATATTTCTGAGATGAGGTATTATGTACACTATTTACATTATTCAGACTATTGTCCTCATCTTTGTTGCCATATTTATTACAACGTTTCGTCCGTTATATGCTCCGGCAAGAAGGCCGGAGCATACAATGACCGAAACATTGTAATAAATATGGCAACAAAGATGAGGACAATAGTGTAAATAATGTTAATCTTCTGTATTAATACATATTAAAACATTTTTTTTTATTTATATTTTAATCGTTTTTTTAATTTATATTTTATTTTGTTGCTCCTGTCCCCCATGAAAAAGGCAATCAATTTCCCAGCTTTAACTGATTTCAACATTAAACAATTAATACTTTTAAATAAACCAGCTGACTCATTGTCAATCATTCTTTATCGTAAATAAGCAACAATCAAATTAATGGGTGTAATTTTCAAATGATATTTAATTTATGGAAAAGTGCCATTCAGATATGACATTTATCTCCCTTTAATTTTCGATGTTTGGATTTTTTTTTTTTTTTGCAAAATGAACCATACAACAAGGTGAAGGTTCGATTTAATGGCTTTGGTGAAGCCAGTAGTCATAGAAATCCTATTCGCTGTTATGAGTCGGATCTGAAAAAGAGACTGGTCACTTAGGGCTTTCTGCTTATTAACCTTTAACACACTGTATTATTCACTACTTTTCTTTCCACTGCATTAGCTTTCAAGTTTCGTCTACTGCACTAAATTTCAGTCATGATCATTTTCTGTTGCCATAGCAGGATATGACAACACAACTGAAAAATTCAAGCATGCTATCATTCATTCATACGAGTCACTTGCAGTGGCAGGATAAAATTTTTGCTTTGTAAACAAAATTAACTCCAGAATGTTAAAGTTTAAGACCCTTGAGTCTTGAAAGATGATCATCAAGATGGTCTTGTTGGACAATGACCATCTTTATGTTCTTCTTTAAGTTTTATTTAAGTTGAGAGGTTACTCTGCAAGAGTTTATTTTAGTAGCAGTCACCGTGACCGTGTCAGGGCAGTGAAGACAAGGTAGTTTTTTTCTGCTTTCTTAAAGTTGTTATCAAAAGAGACTATTCACCTCAATATGAATATTAGATATGACCGAGCGATTATGATATGAAGAAACCTCTTTTTGGGGCAGGACGCTATAGGCCAAGAGTTTGGAGTCACCCACTGGATTTCTAAGAATTGGCTAAAAATTGAAGGTTATGCAAGTTTAAAAAAAAATATTTACTAGCTCTCTTCGAGCCAGGGGGAATTTTTTTTTTTTCCTGAAGGGTTTTTATCTTCAGTAATAACTTTACAATACACACAGACAGAATAATTAAAGCTAATTGCCCAGACATCGTGATCAAAACCAAAAAGAGAATGTGCTTTCTTATTCACATGGCAGTTCTTGTAGACTGTAATGTAGCTTTGAGAATCTTCAAAAAAAAAACTATCAAAGTACAAGGATCTCGAAATGGAAATCTAAAAAATGTGGCACATGAAGACATCAATAATTCCAGTTGTGGTTGGAGCCCTGGGTTTGATTAGAAAAAAGGAGAAAAGGTTCCAATAGACTCATTGAATGGATCCCTGGTAATCCATGCTTTAAAGAAATACAAAAAATTCTTCTCACAGGTGTCTACAAAGGGCTTTATCTATATAAAATGTGGGTGCTTTTAAGTTTTATTTATTATTATTATTTTTTTTTTTTTTTTTTACACAAATCTTCAGTGGAAAATGTCATGACACCATTTCTGACCTTAGGTCTCTGGTTGGGACCCAGAAGGTAATGAGTATACAACAGAAATCAAATGATGATGATAATAATAATAATAATAAAAAGCTTGTAGTGCATGAAGTTTCTTTAAAATTTTACCTCTTTTTGCCTAATCAAGGCTTGCAGATTTTCAATTTTAGATAACCCCTTTTTAAAAAAAATGGATGACATGGGTTTCAGCATCAGGGCTCAGTAGGCGCTAATTTTAACCAAAGAAGTTATGAAGCTTATTAATTCTTAAATCCAGAGGGTGGCCCCCAAACTTAGGACCTTTGTCATTTTTTTTCTTGAATAGTTGGTGAGGTATATACGTCTGAATTTCTGAGACAAGATATTACTATTATACATTGATTCTTTTGGAGCAATTTGTTGGGTCAAAACCAACAAGGATACAGGAACTACTTTGATCTTATCAATGTATAAGAGGTTTGTATTGTCAATAATCATAATATGATAGATCAGATCACCGTAGACAGATGTAGATGCTGGTTCTAAATGTTTTTAAGATGGTCAGCCTGTACGGTTGCCTATGCTGGAAATGACCCCATATGATGAGACAGCACCTTGAGAATGGACGTTATATATTGTAAAAGTATTCCAGTTGTGAAGATATAGTCTGGATTGAAAAATGCTGTCTGGGGTAGGGAGGGGATACAGGAGCTTGTAAGACGGACAGGAAGTTCCCAGGCAGCAGTCTCACATGAAAACTTAACTCTTATTCTTCATTAGAAGACAGTTAAGGAGAAAAGCAATAAGAAGAAAAAAATCCCAAATATCTAAATTTAATAATTGTGTTACCTTCTTACCTGTATGGAAATTTTTGCTTTTTAAATTAAACTTTAAACCTATTATCCAAAAATTAAATGTGATTTCTCTTTTTACTTTAAAACATTAAGGCAACAACCTAATATCATTTCCCTTTTTAATTTAAAAACTTAGGGCTATTATCCAACAACCTAATATCATTTCCCTTTTTAATTTAAAAACTTAGGGCTATTATTCAACAACCTAATAATGTTTCTCGTTTTAATTTAAAACCTTAGGGCTATTATCCAACAACCTAACGTCATTTCTCTTTTAAAATTAAGACTTTAGGGCTATTATTCAACAACCTAATAATGTTTCTCTTTTTTAATTTAAAACCTTAAGGCTATTATCCAACAACCTAATGTCATTTCTTTTTTTAATTTAAGACCTTAGGGCTATTATTCAACAACCTAATAATGTTTCTCTTTTTAATTTAAAACCTTAGGACTATTATCCAACCACCTATTGCTTTTCCTCTTTTTAATTTAAAACTTTAACCATTTAGCATTCAACCCATCAAAATCAACCTTGTCAATATTGGCTTTCAATGTTCCCCCTCTGTAGCCTATCCCAAGTATATTCTGTTATATGTGATGAAATCAACACAAATAACACAGGAAGCCACACAAACAGTGAAACTTTGAAAGCGGATACTGAAAGGGGGGGGGGTTGAGCATGTTGAATACCAAAGAGTTAAGTATTAATTATTCAACCACCTGTTGCTATTTCTCTTTTTAATTTAAAATCTTAAAGCTATTATCCAACAACTGAATGTGATTTCTCCTTTTAAGTTAAAACCATAAAGCTATTATCCAATCACCTAGTATTATTTATGTTTTAAATTTGAAACCATAGAGCTATTATCCAATCACCTAATGCTATTTCAGTTTAGATTCAGCAGAAAAGAAAGTAACAAAAAAAAGGTTTAACGGAAAGAGAGAGAGAGAGAGATAAAAGAGTTTAAAACAAGAGAAACATTTCTGAAACACAAATCGTATATTATCTAAGAGAAGAGAGAAATTGGAGCAGAGTTCATAAGATTGCATCTCTCTTGTTGACCCTGAAGGTGTAGGGACGGTGGGATTTGGGAATAGGTGGATGCAGATAGACTTGTATTCATTCAGGGTCTCCGTTCATGTCTTTACCTGCGTTTCCAGCTCCATGACTTTCTGTTTCATTTCTTTTAGGTCTGACAGTGACTGGGCCTCTCGAATTTTCACAGTCATCAGTTCATCCTGTAAAACCCGGATCTCATGTTTACTATTTTTGCTGCTGGCTGCATTTGCAGAGGACATCGTCTGTACATGTTTCTGTCGAAACAAAAAGCATGCAGATGAAGGAATTTGGATATTCACAATAAAAAAAAAATAAAAATTAGAAAATGTTGCAGTTGTTATTATTACATCCCTAATAATAGATATTTTTTTCATACAAAAGTTCACTACAATACAAGGCTTGAAAGCAACTCAAGGTAGAGGGTTACTCTTAAAATGCTAATGATAAATGAGGTGTGACATGAACGAGAGAGTAAATAGTAAGAAATGAAGATCATGAGGATAGATAACAATTGACTGTCGAATTCACCAATAAATGGCTCAAGAGTCACTCAAGGTAGAGGCTTACTATTAAAATAATATGGATAAATGAGGTTTGCGTAATGAGTAACAGAGTAAGTGGTAGGAAACAAAGATTATGAAAAGGCAGATAGATAGCAATTGATCTTCAACTTCAACCAATAAAAGGCTCGAGAGCAACTCAAAACAGAGGTTTTTTCCACAAACTATAAAAATAAATTTATTCCATTTTGATACAAGATTTATTATTCTATCTGGTTTAAAATTTGTTTTATACGAATGAAGACCATATGAAACACCCTTTGTAATTTTGAAGAGGATTAATATTCTTTCATTTTGATACCAGTTTTAATATTCTATAGGGTCTAAAACTTGTTTTATAGGATTGGAAATCTTGTAATTTTGAAAGGAAATAAATTCCATTTTGATACTAGTTTCATTTTTCTATCTGGTCTAAAACCTGTTTTATGAGGTTGGTGGCCTTCTTTATCAATCAACCATTTTTGCAACAATAAGGAAAGGGCATTGGCTTGCATATCCTTTTTATGTTAGGAATCCATTAATTTTGATAGTTAACTTGAAGGAATTATTATTTACAAAGAAATATGAGGAGAGAAAGAGAGGGAGAAAAGGGTAAGAAAGAGAGATGAAAAGAGCAAGAGGATAAAGAGTAAAAGAGAAGGCAAATAGAGAGAGAGAGGAAAAGAGAGATGAAAAGAAAGAGAAAGTGGAAGAGAAAGAGACAGACAGAAGAAGAGAGAGAGAAGAAAAGATTGAAGAGAAAGAGAGAAGAGAGAGAAAAGAAGTCAGAAAAGAGAGAAAAATGAACAGACAGAAGAGAGAGGGAGAAAAATGAAAAGACAGAAGAGAGAGGGAGAAAAATGAAGAGACAGAAGAGAGAGGGAGAAAAATGAAGAGACAGAAGAGAAAAATGAAGAGACAGAAGAGAAAAATGAAGAGACAGAAGAGAAAAATGAAGAGACAGAAGAGAGAGAAAAGAAGACAGAAGAGAGAGAGAAAAGAAGACAGAAGAGAGAGAGAAAAGAAGACAGAAGAGAGAGAGAAAAGAAGACAGAAGAGAGAGAGAGAGAGAAAAGAAGACAGAAGAGAGAGAGAAAAGAAGACAGAAGAGAGAGAGAGAAAAGAAGACAGAGAAGAGAGAGAGAGAGAAAAGATAACAGAAGAGAGAGAGAGAGAAAAGAAGACAGAAGAGAGAGAGAGAGAAAAGAAGACAGAAGAGAGAGAGAGAGAAAAGAAGACAGAAAGAGAGAGAGAGAGAAAAGAAGACAGAAGAGAGAGAGAAAGAAAGACAGAAGAGAGAGAGAGAGAAAAAAGAAGAAGAAGAGAGAGAGAGAAAAAAGACAGAAGAGAGAGAGAGAGAGAGAAAAGAAGAAGAGAGAGAGAGAAAGAAGACAGAAGAGAGAGAGAAGAAAGAGAAGAGAGAGAGAGAGAGAAAGACAGAAGAGAGAGAGAGAGAGAGAGAGAAAAGAGAAAAGACAGAGAGAGAGAGAGAGAAGAAGACAGAAGAGAGAGAGAGAAAAGAAGACAGAAGAGAGAGAGAGAAAAGAAGACAGAAGAGAGAGAGAGAGAAAAGAAGACAGAAGAGAGAGAGAGAGAAAAGAAGACAGAAGAGAGAGAGAAAAGAAGACAGAAGAGAGAGAGAGAGAAAAGAAGAAGAGAGAGAGAGAGAAAAGAAGACAGAAGAGAGAGAGAGAGAAAAGAAGACAGAGAGAGAGAGAGAGAGAAAAGAAGACAGAAGAGAGAGAGAGAGAAAAGAAGACAGAAGAGAGAGAGAGAGAGAAAAGAAGACAGAAGAGAGAGAGAGAGAAAAGAAGACAGAAGAGAGAGAGAGAGAGAAAAGAGAGAGAAAGAAGAGAGAGAGAGAGAAAGAAAGAAGAGAGAGAGAGAGAAAAGAAGACAGAGAGAGAGAGAGAGAGAAAGAGAGAAGAAGAGAGAGAGAGAGAGAGAGAAAGAGAAGAGAGAGAGAGAGAGAAGACAGAAGAGAGAGAGAGAAAAGAAGACAGAAGAGAGAGGAAGAAAAATGAAGAGACAGAAGAGAGAGAGAGAAGATACAGAAGGAGAGAGAGAGAGATGAAGATACAGAAGGAGAGAGAGAGAGAGATGAAGATACAGAAGGAGAGAGAGAGAGAGATGAAGATACAGAAGGAGAGAGAGAGAGAGAGACAGAAGAGAGAGAGAGAGAAAGAAGAGAGAAGAGAGAGAGAGAAAAAGAGAGAGAGAGAGAGAGAGAGAAGAACAGAAGAGAGAGAGAGAGAGAGAAAAGATGAAGAGAGAGAGAGAAGAGAGAGAAGAGAGAGAGAGAGAGAGAAGATAAGAAGGAGAGAGAGAGAGAGATGAAGAGAGAGAGAAGGAGGAGAGAGAAGAGAGTGGAGAGAGAGAGAAAAGAGTAGAGAGAGAGAGAGAGAAAAGCATGGAGAGAGAGAGAGTGAGAGTGAGAGAGCTTTATTAAGAGAAGGAAAAGGAAAGAGAGGAGAAAAAGAGGATGCAAAAGAAAAGAAGAAGAGACCAGAGAAAAAAACTCAAGACCTCCCAGTAGAGATCTAAGAAGACAGAGAGAGAGAGAAAAGTTCTTTTAAGGAGAGAGAGAGAGAGAGAGAGAGAGATATTTTGACAGCAATGAGAGAGAGAAAAGCTGACATCAGAAGAGAGAGAAAAAAGTAACTGAAGTTGGTCTGCAAATAAAAATAGCAAAACATACGTAAGAACCCGAAAAGAGTTGTAAATCCAAAGACGCAAGAGTCATGAGCATCAAAAATGGACAGGTCATACTGAAGTAGCAACAGATCAATGAGGCTTAAGTTTAGTCTGCAACAATTTTATAAGTGTGATGCACCCAGTGAGGATCAAACTCACTAAAATAACAAGTCAGTATGACTAACTTGTCAACCACTGCTCCATGGTCATGCCTTCTAAATGATATTTATTCAGGTTAGCTTAGAACAGCACAAGTCTAGAGAGAGAGGAAAAGAGAGAAAGATGATAACAAAGAGGAAGAGAGAGAGAGAAAGAGTAGAATAGCCCAGTGATAGTGATTGGTTGATTGATGAATTATTTTTTAAGGCTTATCAATCACTTATGGGTCATTTAAAGCTGAAACATATACTACAGTTCACTCCCAAAATTGACATGGGATGAACTTGAAAGAAACATGAAAAAAAAAAAAAATATCAATCAATTATCAAATTTGTACTTTGAGAAGCTTTTGCAATAAAAACTTGTGCTGCAGTAATAAAAGCTAAAGGAGGATATTTTGACAAGAGCAAAATTTAATCATAAAATGCTTTTTTTCTTTTAGGCATAATAAAATTTCTAATAAAAAATGTCTCACTTTTTTTTAACCATTTATAATAATTTTATCTCATTTAAAGTACAAAATAACTACTTTTGGTACGAGTATAATATATATATATATATATATGTAAGCAAATACATGGATATAGATCCGACAGTATGAAGAAAAATATACTGAAAAAACAAACAAAAATCCTAATATGCGAAAATGCTGTTTTAATGAGAATGTCAACATCGGACATTTCGGTCTAACAGACCATCTTCAGGACATATTCATAAAACATAATTAACATAGACCATATACAATTCAACATGAAAAAGACGATGGACATAAAAGCAATACCAATCCAAACAGATTTCAGTTATCAAAAGAATCATTGTATAATAGTAACAACATGAGGAAGGCTGTAGAGTAGAATGGCTGAAATATTGTGATAAAGACAATAAAGATAGGGAAACTGGTCCAAAAGAATCATTGTATAATAGTAACAACATGAGGAAGGCTGTAGAGTAGAATGGCAGAAATATTGTGATAAAGACAATAAAGATAGGAAACTGAGAGAAAAGAATCATTGTATAATAGTAACAACATGAGGAAGGCAGAAGGTAGAAGAGAGAAATATTGTGATAAAGACAATAAAGATAAGGAAACTGGTTTAAAAGAATCATTGTATAATAGCAACAACATGAGGAAGGCTGGAGAGTAGAATGGCTGACATATTGTGATAAAGACAACAAAGATAGGGAAACTGGTCCAAAAGAATCATTGTATAATAGTAACAACATGAGGAAGGCTGGAGAGTAGATTGGCTGAAAAATTGTGATAAAGACAACAAAGATAAGGAAACTGGTTTAAAAGAATCATTGTATAATAGTCAGAACATGAGGAAGGCAGGAGAGTAGACTGGCTGAAATATCAGGACTACAAAGATAAGGAAAGTAAAACAAAAGAAATGGTTTTAAGAATCTCACGTAAAAGAGGTTTGGAAAGAATCTGTGACAAATGTGGACTGACCAGCAAAGAAACATTTTAAGAGGCTTGTGTTGTGAATGCAAACAGAGAGAAAAAGTGAACAGCATAAACCAAGCAAATTACCACCTTTTGATAAAATGTCACAAAGACAAACATAAAATGTTAAGCAAAGAAGTAAATCAAAACTGATTTCTCAAGAATAATTTTTCAGTGATGAATGTAGAGCTACATTGGATGGATCTGATGGCCAGGGTCTGTACAAGGGTTTTGTGCCCGTGCCCTGAATCTAATGCTATGGTGGGCTCTCTCCCTATTGCATCTCAATTTGTCATAAGATAGTATTCATATAAAATACAAATTTCATTGTAACCTAATTATGTACAATAATGGAACATATGCAATATAGGTAAACAATTAAACAAGAATAACTGAAAATAACCACAATGTATCTAAATGCAAATTAGAGACATGTCATAATTAATAGACCATTCCATTTATTTAAATCAACAATGGCCACATCAACATCCAATGAAGCCTTTACTCAGGAGTTTTTCTTTGATTCGGACTCCGATGATAACTTTAAAAGGTTTACTCAAGTGGATATTGACATGGGATGAAGGTGAAACCAATAAACGTGGAAAAAAAAACCAAAAGGTGCTCAATCTATCATCCATGGCTGACTAATTTTTGGAAGCTACTGGTCCCATAGATGTACCTGAATTATTTCATCTATTTGTAAACAATGAATAAAACTTTGTCAATGAGACAAATAAATATTTTAGTCAAAAAAAAAATTAAACAAATTTTCTGGTTTCTTCTTGTTTAGACATGAGGAACCACAAAATTTTTGATGAAAAAAGTCTAGCCATTTTGCTTCTTTTGCAACCCCAGAACTAACAATTTAATAAAAGTTAAAAGGTTAAATTGTCAACTATTTGTTTTTTATTCTGTGCTTAATTTTTTTTTTCAATGTCAAAATATGCATGCAAAACATCAAAATATTACTCATCCATTCTTTTATTATTAGTAACAAAAGTAAACTGAAAAAACAAACAAAAATTATAACAATTTTTAAAACACTGTTTTAATGTTTTGCGCCCTCAAAAAAAAAAAATGCAATGTTAAAGGGGGAACAATTTCAGAAAGAATTTTCGGATAAAAAAAAGATTTGTCTGGAGAGACCATCATACCTTTCCCAATGGAATTGACAATGGTCAACATAAAAATTTAACTAGAATTTGAAACAGATTCTGATTTCTCAAAGACTATTCATTAAACAATATGCATCTAAATTACAGCTCCTGGAGCAAATGGTCACTGATTTAGGTTCTGACCAGGCTTGAAGACAATAACTATAAATTACAACTAGTGAAAAGAATCATTGTAGAATAGTATTCCTAAACAGTCAGGAAGGTTCTGGATCAGTCTTGACTTTGCTTAACTATCTATTATAGCATTCTTGTATGCAAGATTAGAACCTACTATTCCCCCAAAGAAATCGTTTTAAAGGATCTGAAGGCTCAACGTAAAAATTAGGTTTACAGCAACTGTGACAAATGTACATGGTATGACCAGCAAAGAAACATTTTAAGGCTTGACATTGCTTGATTGTGATTATAGCAGAGAGCAAAAGCTTCTGGTATTATGAATGAGTCACTGTTAAACCAAGAAAATTACCTATTCTTTTGATAAAATGTCTCCCAAAGATAAAACATAAAGTGGCCAGTTGAGCTCAAAGAAGTAAATGAAAACTGATTTGGAGATTAATTTTCAGTGATGAATGTAGATTGCTTCATCATTAACTCTTATTTCAAGTTCCTAACGTTAAACAATTAAACTAAAGAATAACTGAAAATAACCACAATGAAATCTAAATGCAAATCAGAGACATGATCATAATTAATTAACCATCCATTTATTTAAATCAACAACAGACTTACATCAGTATCCAATGAACCACCCAACAGGGCTTTGACCAGGCTCAACATTGCTTAACTATCCACTACATCACTTGTGCATGCAAGCTTAGCTCCTGGTATTCCCAAGTGGTCACCCATCTATGTTCTGAACAGGCTCAATGTTGCTTAACTCTTCATTACACCAAACATGCATCCATCTGTGCAAAATAAAGTCCACTGAAATACTTACATCTTCCAGCTCTTTTATTTTGATTTTCATTTCTTTAATCAAAGCACTTGTTTCAGCATCTTTTAATCGAACAGAAATCAGTTCTTCCTGCAACTGTTGGACCAGATGCTGAGCAATGTTATCATCTAGATTTGATATACATTCTGAAATAAAACAAGCAAAATCCAAATAAATTTATGCATTCAAATATGAAAAAAAATATTTAAATATATATATATACAAATATATATATATATATATATATATATATATATAAAAGAAATATGTTGTAACCAGAAAAGTATGTATATTAAAAAAGAAAGGGTGCTTAAACGTTTTTGGTTGTAATGTGGATTTATTGAGAAAAAATTATACTTTGTTTTAAAATTTCAAAACGTGTTTCTGGTCTGGTCAACCGTCTTCAGTTTATTTTTACATATTGTAAAAATAATTTTTTTTTCAATGTTCAAAATATGCATGAAACATTCTGTTTGTGTGTTCATCCATTTTTTTATTAGAATTGTCAAAAATAAAATCTATAGGGTCAATAAAACAATTAAGGTTTGTCCAGCAAGTTTTAAAACATTTAATCTTTTTAATGTTTTAGTTTTGCACCTTGGATCTGTTTCTAAAAAAAAATGCAATGTTAAAGGGGGAACAATTTCAGAAAGAATTTGGTCGGATAAAGGTAAAAAGATTTGTCTGGAGAGAAGAGTCATACCTTTCCCAAGGGTATTGACACATCAGTCAATATAATGAATTTAACTAGAATTTGAACTCGGCTCTCTGATTTCTCATTCCAAGCCACTATTCATTAAACATACACACACACACACACACACACACACACACACACATGGTCTTAAATGGTCACTGATTTACATACATAAATGTATGTGATGTGTCCTTAACTATAAATTACAGCACTAGTGAATGCAAGCTTAGAACCTGGTATTCCTAAACAGTGATCATTAGGTTCTGATCAGTCTGCATGTTTTTTTTTTTTGTGGGGGGTTATGATCTATTCTTCGGGTTTGAAAGATTAAAACCTACTATTTTTCCTGTATCACTTAACTAGGAATTGTCTGTTTGATATGTTGCTTAAACATTATCCATTACATTTGAAAATGTGTTGTGATACAAAAAGTTTTCTGTTGTCTGTCAATTTTATATTTTTTGTGGGAGACCCTGTTGTTCAGTTGTTCTGATGCCCATATATGACATTCTTACATTTTGTGCATTTATGCATAAACTCCATTTTTGCAGTTGCAGTTTAAGTTT